GGGTCTTCCTGTGGCCCTGGCCAGAGCAGCCCAGAGGCCACCTGAGGGTGAAGGACATTGCCCAGCTTGGGGGGCTTTGCTCTAAGCCACCCAGAGAGAGCATAACACAGCCTGGCGAAGCAGCCCGGCCTCTGGGCAGTGTAAGGACCCACCCATCCTTCCCACTGACCCTCCCCTAACCCAGAGCCCAGCCCCCTCTGCGCAGTGGGGCTAGCAGTACGGACCTGGCAGGGCTACTGAGAGGACAGGAGAGGACTTAGGTCTGGGGAAGAGGGCTGACCCAACTGACCCTCCCCTAACCCAGAGCCCAGCCCCCTCTGCACAGTGGGGCTAGCAGTACGGACCTGGCAGGGCTGCTGAGAGGACAGGAGAGGATTTAGGTGGAGTCTGGGGAAGAGGGCTGACCCGGGGACTGGGGAGGGGGATTTTGACAGGAAAAGGTAAGACTAACATAAACGTAACTGTATGTAAGCGCTGTAAATTGGTTCCCCACGGGGTGCAGGCTAGCAATTGTGTAAGTGCTGTGCATGCATGTGGGACTGAACAAATAAGTACCTGGGTGGTGGGGGGACCCACAGTGCTCAGGGGCAGGAGGCTCACTACCGTCAGATGCCGGCCCATGAGCAGCCTCCCTAGAACGTTAAACATGGCAAGGACCATCACAGTCCACCCAACCACTGTGGCTGCAAAACAAATCGCCCCAAACCTAGCGTGGGAAACACTTTCTACTCTGCTCACAGTTCCTGAGGGTCAGGGATGCAGGCAGGACAGACGCCTGCATTTGACAGGGATGGCTGCTCTCTGCTCTAAGTTGCCTGTGGCCCCAGCTGGTAGACTCAAAGTCTGGAAGACGGGTTTTCTGAAGGCTCCGATCCTCCACTCACACCTCTGGTGGCTGACCAGGGCTTCTGCTGAAGCTGTTGGCTGGAACACCTCCATGGGCCTCTCCATGGAGCTTGGGCTTCCTCACAGCATGGCGGCTGAGTCCAAAGAAGAGGGGGAGGGGAGAGAGAGAGAGAGAGAGAGAGAGAGAACAAAGAGAAACCCATATTGTCTTTTATGACCTAGCATTGACCATCTATCTCCAAGCATCACTCCTTTGCATCCTATTGTTTGAGGCAAATCCACCCGGTTCAGGAAGAGGGATCTTGTCTTTCTGGATACATAGTGACACTTTTGTGTTGTGAGACGAGCACACGGGATGGGATGGGAGATATACTGGTGGGGTGGGGCCACAGTTGGAGAATACAATCTTCCGCAGCCCCACCCAATCCCTTCCCTTTCCGGAGGTCACCACTGTTCCCATTTCTTCAGGTCGCCTCTGTGCCTTTACAGACATAGATACTATTGGACTTGGCTTGGGGCTTTTGAGGGGAGGAGTTAGCATGCTTAATTTTTGCATAAGTGGGATTCCCCTTTTTCACTTAATATAAATCTGTTAGTACATGCAGATCTCTTTCTCTAGTTTTATTTATTGCAGTACAATATTCCACAATTTGCGTATGTTGCAATTTATTTAATCATTTCTTCATTTTGATGGATCTTGGAAGTGTGTCCTGCATTTTTTAATATGAGCTCTATGGCAGTAAGTATTTCTCTATGCGCTATTTTACACCCTCAGCACCAAATGCGGATGTTTCTCAGGAAACCATGACAAGTGAGGTGCCCTCCCCAGAGCCCACTTCATGTTCAGTCCCCACCAGGGCCCCAGGCCCGAGGGGCGCCTTCACACAGCCAATGCTTCTGCAGTCCTGTTCCCACTCAGAGGAACAAAAGGTTTTTTTCTTTTTAAAAATATTTTTATTGATTTTTAGTGAGAGAGGGAGAAGGAAAGAGAAACATCAATGTGAGAGAGAAACACCGATTGGCTGCCTCCTGCACTCCGCCTCCTGAGGATCGAGCCTGCAACCAGAGCACATGCCCCGACAGGGAATCAAACAGGCAACCTTTTGGGTCGGGATAGCACCTGACCACATGAGGCACACCAGCCAGGGTAGCCAGGGCTCTTCTTATTGTTCCTACGGTCCTGGTTTTGTTCCTGACGCCTAGATGAAACTGTGCCCAACTCGGAACCATCAACGTAGACAGGAACATAGGATTGGCTTCAACCAATCTGGGCTCGTCTCTGGAGCTGGAGTTTAGCTCAGCATCCCTGGGATGGCTGAGAGGGCAAATACCCCGTAGAAAATCGGGGTCCCATTAGCAGAAGAAGAGGTGAATGGACTAAGGAAGCAAACCATAAATGTAGATGCCCGTGGGTGACTACCTGTGCTATGGATTTTACCCAGTAAACTTGTATACTTCGTAACAAAATAAAATAAAATAAAGAGAGAGCATTGCCACTTTCGATTTTAATGAGTGCTACCAAATTCCCTTTGAGAAAGTTATCCTGCTACCAAAAGGATCTAAGAGTATTTATTTCCATGTGTCCTTCCTCACCAGGACTCAGAACTGTCAATACTTTTTATTCTCCCTTACCTTATGGGTGAAATGTTATTGTGCATCTCATGATGTTTTAATTTGTCATTTTCTTGTGACAGGAGGTTGAACAACCATGTGGTCACCAGCCCTCCGCATTGTTCTCCTGGGAACTGCCTCTCATTTCCTTACTGAACTATTCATTTCAGTTTCACTCAAAGTCAGAGACGTGCCAATGGAAACAGTGACATTTTTAAAGCAATACAGTTTATAAAAAGATGGCAAAGATGCTTGTGAAGTTTGGTATCACTTACGTTTAGAAAAGCTACCCTTTACTTACAAATGTTAACTTACGTTTTCTTTGCTAACTTAAGAATAAGAAGGCCGTTCAAAGTGAGAGCAAGAAGAGCTCCTCGGGGATCATTAACTCGGGAGGAAGCCCAACCCTGTCCCGGTGAGGAGACGAGGCCTGGGCGTTCGTGGGGCAGGGACGGGCACACGCACATCCATGGCAGGCAGCGTTTCTATCGGTGCAGATGCCAGAACGCAGTGACGCTAATTCTAAACAAAGTTTCTAACTTTTCGCCCAGTGGTCCCCAGTCCAGGAGTCATGTCTGCCTCTTGTCCTCTTTGCAAACAGTGCTTTTGAGACACAATGTTCCTCAGCCCCGTTCAGAGGCCATTTCGCCCAGTTTGTGACATTCCACGGTTTGAGGCCTAAAACACGCAAGGCAGTTCCTCTGGCCCGGCAGCTCCGGCTCCATTTGACAGCAGCTGCATTTATATTATTGTTCACATCTTTGTACATATTTTAAAAATATGCTTCATTGGTTTTTTAGAGAAAGAGAATGGGAGAGGGATAGTGAGACAGAAACATTGATGAGAAAAATATCTATCGGCTGCCTCCTGCACACCCCCTACTGGGATCGAGCCCGCAACCTGGGCATGTGCCCTTATGGGGAATTGAAATGGTGACCTCTTGGTTCATGGGTCATTACTCAACTACTGAGCCACACTGGCCTGGCTGTAAACATTTTTAATTAAAACAAACTCCCAAACTATATAAAAATATTCCTAGTTGTTTCACCTGAGGTAAGACCAAAGTTGATTTAAAAAGTGGTGAATAAGATTTTCACTGTCATATACTGAGTCTTTTGTTATTTACTTTGTCCCTTACAAACTCGACTATGAAATGTGACCTTTTTCCAAGTTACCTTTATCTCCCATTGATCTATTTGTTTTTGTTCTGGTACCCCTTGTTTTTATAAAGCAGGTCTCTGGATTGATTTAGGAAGAAAACACATTTACAGTATTTTCTCTTCCACAAGGACACCCTGTCTTCGTTGGGACAGGTGTGGCTTCGTTGGTCTGTAAGCCTGTGGCTTCGTCTGCGCACAGCGGCCTCTGGTTCTGGAGAGGAGTAGATGCCTGGGTGTTGGCTGTGGGGTGGCTCTGGGTGACTTTTGGAATAACTCCTAGTCCATCACCTTTTTGAACTGTTTCATCACTAGGACATCCCGGAGGAGAGAGAGGTGGCAGGTGGGACGGTGTGCTGGAGGGAAGTGTCGGGAGTGAGGTTTGTGCAGGTGGAAAAACGGGAGGGGACTCTCAGAGCCATGGGCGAGAGCCAGCCCACTGGCTGCAGAGTCTACGGGGCCCGGAGGAGGCAGCACCACCACCGGGGAGCCCTTGTCAGCAGCCAAAGTGGCCATTTATTTGTTTACTAATTTGACAATTATTTCTAGGGTGATTGTTCATGTGTCACATGTTATTCTAGATGTCAGGGGTGTAACTGAAAAGACGAATGAAGTCTCCATGTGGAGGCTGCATTGATAGCCATTATGCAGATACCCACATCTAGGGTGACAAACACCATGAGAAGCAAAGCAGGGCGGCGTGACAGATGGAGAGGGGGCCCTCGGGGGCCTCGGGGTGTCCAGGCAGGCTGCTCCGATGAAGTGCTGTTTCATAGAGAGTGGAGTGAGAGAGTGACCACAGGGGCCTCGGGAGGGTCTCCTGGCAGAAGGAAGACCGCGCACAGCCCCAGGTGGGAGCATGCCCGGTGTGTTTGAGTCCTGAGAGCCGAGTGAGGGTGAGTGTCCAGGGAGGAGGCCTGAGAGGGCCTGGGACCAGGCCACAGCGGGCCAGGAGGCCTAATGAGAATGGGGTGGGAATTTGTGCACGCACACATGTGAACGAGAGTGGCTGAGTGAATGTGTGTGTATGTTTGTGTGAGAGTGTGTTTCTGATATGCATGTGTGTGTTGGTGTGAGTATGTGTTTATATCTGCCATGCAGGCATGTGCATGTGTTTGTGCCTTTGCGTGCTGTGTGTCATGAGTTTGCATGGAATGCGATCCCGGTGAGAAGCCTCTCCTGGAATCCTCGCTGGGTCTCTGCTCTGCCATGGTTCACAGAACCAACCAATGTCACTCATGAAGTCACGGAATAAAGCCAGGATCCTAGTGACCCCTGGAGCCGCAGGGACCACTCAGGCTGGGGCCTGTGGAGGGCTTAACATAGCCCAAGCTAACTCCCAACAATCCACTGGAACACCGGACACCCTGGACCTGCTGTCAAATCATGAAACGCCGCCTGATGGACCACAGCGGACAACAGTCACTGACAGATGGGGCCACCCTCAGCTTGGCCAGCCCAGGGTCCACGGAGGAGAGTGTGGAAGTGTGCTGGCTGAGTCAAAAACAGCTGGAGATTGAGCCAGGTGTGTTCTCTGGAAGGGAGGTCTTAGAGGGGGAATGCTGGGCACAAGGTCACCTTGGAGCTGCTACCCAATTGTTGTATTGGCCATAGATTGTTGTATTGGCCATAGATTGTTGTATTGGCCATAGATTGTTGTATTGGCCATAGATTGTTGTATTGGCCATAGATTGTTGTATTGGCCATAGATTGTTGTATTGGCCATAGATTGTTGTATTGGCCATAGATTGTTGTATTGGCCATAGATATGTGCATGTGTTTGTGCCTTTGCGTGCTGTGTGTCATGAGTTTGCATGGAATGCGATCCCGGTGAGAAGCCTCTCCTGGAATCCTCGCTGGGTCTCTGCTCTGCCATGGTTCACAGAACCAACCAATGTCACTCATGAGGTCACGGAATAAAGCCAGGATCCTAGTGGCCCCTGGAGCCCCAGGGACCACTCAAGCTGGGGCCCGTGGAGGGCTTAACACAGCCCAAGCTAACTCCCAACAATCCACTGGAACACCGTACACCCTGGACCTGCTGTCAAGTCATGAAACGCCGCCTGATGGACCACAGCAGACAACAGTCACTGACAGATGGGGCCACCCTCAGCTTGGCCAGCCCAGGGTCCACGGAGGAGAGTGTGGAAGTGTGCTGGCTGAGTCAAAAACAGCTGGAGATTGAGCCAGGTGTGTTCTCTGGAAGGGAGGTCTTAGAGGGGGAATGCTGGGCACAAGGTCACCTTGGAGCTGCTACCCAATTGTTGTATTGGCCATAGATTGTTGTATTGGCCATAGACTGTTGTATTGCCCATAGATAGTTGTATTGGCCATAGATTATTGTATTGGCCATAGATTGTTGTATTGGCCATAGATTGTTGTATTGGCCATAGATAGTTGTACTGGCCATAGATTGTTGTATTAGCCATAGATTGTTGTATTGGCCATAGACTGTTGTATTGGCCATAGATTGTTGTATTGGCCATAAAAATGGATGATGGGTACGACTGAGGACAATGCTGTGAGTACATGAGGTGATTTCAGGATATATGAGGATGAAGATGTAAAATGTCAATCACTGTGTTTTGTTTTGTTTTTTAATTTTAGAAGATGTTTATTAAAGCTCAGACAGTGAAACAAGGAAGGGCCTAGGATAACAGGAGAGGGACTAGGTGGGGAGGTGAGCCTGGCTGGCTGCTTTGGCTCACTAAGGAGTCAGAGGAAAGGCGGCCTTGGGGACAGGTTCAGGGGGGTTGCCACTGCCCATTGCTGCCCTGGTTGCAAGCCTCGTGGGGTCTCTTATTATGTTTTAATGTGCATTAAAAATAGTTGACATGTCAATCCTGTGGTTTCAGCAGGGATATAAAAATTCCTTTATAATAAATTGATTGAAGTTCATCTAGAACGTCATCAATTTGCAGACCACTGTGAGATGGCAGCACCCGAGGGTAACACGTTGCAAGCCTCGTGGGGTCTCTTATTATGTTTTAATGTGCATTAAAAATAGTTGACATGTCAATCCTGTGGTTTCAGCAGGGATATAAAAATTCCTTTATAATAAATTGATTGAAGTTCATCTAGAATGTCAATTTGCAGTCCACTGTGAGATGGCAGCACCCGAGGGTAACACACAGGCTCCCGGGCACAGTGCCTGGCACAGCACAGCTCTGGCACCACCAGTCAGTAAATGCGCTCTGCCTCGAAGGGATTAAGCCAAAAATCACATATATACTCGTGCATCACAGCATTGGCCTCAGTCTATCTATATCTCACATAGACACAGACAACAGTAACAGTATGGTGACAGCCAGAGGGAGAGGGGGTGGGGGCAGAGGTGGGCAAGGGGATGGGATGGGATGGAAAGGGACTGCTTGGGGGGACGGGCACATGTGCCGGTGCAGATGAGGTTTTACTGAGTTGTGTAGTTGAAACCTGTATGGTTTTGTGAACCAATGTCACCTCATTAATTTCAATAAAATGAAATAAATAGATAAAAATAAATGCTCTGTATCTCAATTTTCTAATCTATCAGGTCGGACTCTAACAAGCAATTTCTTAGAGGTGTTTGAGTATTAAAGGAGTTAAAAATGTGGATCTGGAGACTACTCTGCTAAGCGAAATAAGCCAGTTAGAGAAAGACAACTGTCACATGATCTCACTCATACATGGAATCTGATGAACAAAAACATAGAACCAGCGGCATGGATGCATGGAACAGACTGACAGATCTCAAAGGGGGGGAGGAGGGAGGGGAAGAGATTAACCAAAGGGCATATATGCATGTATGTTCAGCCCATGGACACACAGTAGTGTGGCGAAGGCCTGGGGGGAAGGAGAAGAGGGCTGGAGGGGGCATCTGTACTACTGTCAACAATAATAACTTCAAAACCACACAGACACGTCCACATGGGAAGACAGTGAGTGTTGAGGGAAAAGGCAAGCTTCCCGGGATAAGATGGAAACTCGGCACAAACGCCGAAGGGGCAGTGGGGCTCGATGGCCTGGCGAAGCGCTTCCCATGGCTGGCTTTGTAAACTGGCTTCATCGAGCTGTAATTTTCACGTGCAAACCTGACCATTTTTTAAAATTTAAATTCTTTGTTGTTGACAGTATTACATATGTCTCCTTTCCCCCCCATTGACCTCTCCCCGGCCGCTCCTGCCCCGGACCAATTTTAGGTATATTGGAAGAACCCCCCATTGACCTCTCCCCGGCCGCTCCTGCCCCGGACCAATTTTAGGTATACAATTGGAAGAATGCTGACTCATGTCCAGTTGTGTAACCACTACCACGTCATGATACAGAACATGTTCATCACCCCGAGAGCTCCCTGTGCCCCTTCGTGGTCCGCTCCCTGCTGCCCAGCCGCCGCAGCCCGGCCTGTCCTCCTGCAGCTTTACCTTCTGTAGAAGCATCTCCACGGAACCGTGAGTCCGTGGCCTTCATGCCGGGCTTTCACTGAGCAGCGCGCAGCGGAGGCTCCGTGATGTTTGCAGGTCTCAGTAGCTCATCCCTTCATATCGGTGAATGAGGGGCATGTATGCGTGCACCGCATTTCTCTCTTCACCAGCTGATGGCCTTTTAGGGCTTGCTCATTTTTGGTGACTACATTCATATATTATTTGATCTTTATCGTGGTATCCATAACTTATGCAAACATCTGTCTGTACAGTATTTGGTTCCTGTCATGGCCCCATGAGGTCAGTGTTGGTGTTATTCATGGGGAAGTGGACAGGGATCCCTGGAGCCAGCACCTGTCAGAGTCCTGTTGGGGGGCCCTGGCTGGGACCTGGGGAAGAACTCCCAGCCCTCAGGTGCTGTGAAGAGGGAGGAGCCCCCTCCGTGGGGCCGCCCGTCCCCACTGGCAGGACCAGGACACCTCTTCAGCCTCCAGGGCCCGGGTTCTGAGCTGGTGCAGCTCCTCGTCCTCCCAGTCCTGCCCCCAGCACCAGGCTTACTCCTCCTGCTTGTGAGGTGCCAGGACTCAGCCCAGCGAAGTGAGAGCACCCTATACCCACGTGCACCCCATGCAGAGTGTGACCTGGGGACCTAGGCGGCTTCGAGCCCGTCAGCTGGAGCCCCGCATTCAGGAAGCCGAGTTCATCAAGGGGCAGCGGTGGCCGGTTGTCCTTCGAGATGGCTCCCAGCCCCGACCCACGGGGGCCTGGGAGCAGCAAGAACAGCCGTCCCGAGAGTGGGCACAGCGCGGCACTGCTGGGGCCTTGGAGAGCAGCCCCGGGAGCCCGGTACCCCCACTGGCTGGTCCCTACCACCCGTGGGCTGTGCTGTGTGGCCTCTGCCGGCCTCCTCCACATCCCCGACCCGGCATCCGCCAGGGCTTCAGCCGCCAGGTCTTCTTTGAGAAGATGCCGGAGATAAGGCGGTGCCGGGCCAAGAGCAGGAGGAAGAGCAGAGCCCTTGGGACAGCAGAGCCCCAGGCCCATGCAGGGCGCATCCGTGGCCGCGGCAGGAGCAGTGAGCACATGCCGTGCCTGCCTTGCCTCCCCTCCTGTGGCTCAGGTGCGGGTCCCACCAGCAGGATCAGAGGAGAGAGGGCGAGGGCAAAGCGGGCAGCCAGCTGCGCACAGAGCTGCGAGGCCCTGGGAAGAGGAGGGGAGGTGCCCTCCGGGCAGGCACAGCCCATTTCACACCTGACTCCAGAGCCGAGCAGCGGCAGATGCTTCTGATGGCGGCTGGGCTCCGAGGCCGCAGGCTGGGCAGGGGCTTCTGTTTGTGCTGGCGGACCAAGCAGGCCCGGCTCTCAGGAGAGACAACTGCACATGCAGCTTTGGCTCTGTTTCTCTCATGGTTAGGAGCCCTCCTACGCCCTGGTTCTAGTCGCATTTCCGCGGGATCGAACTAGAGCAGCTGAACATCTGAGGCCGTGACTAATGGCATGAACCCTGTTATTAGGCTGGGCCGACAGGAAACCACCATTTCTGTGGGTGACACCCTGGCGCAGACACCTAGAGACAGGGGGCTCCCCACAGGCAGAGCTGGGGGCTGGCTGAGCCCTGCAGACCCAGGTCTGTCAATTCTGTGTTTTACAATGTTATACAAAATGTGTCTGCACCCTCCTACTCATTGCTGGCTACGGGGCTGCCCTAATTTAAGGAAATGCAGGGGTGGCCCCCTGTGTTGGCACCTGATGAAACACATCCAGCCTTCCAGGGAGAGGCAGGTGGGACCGGCGATGGCAAGGTGGAGGGCTGTGTCCCATGAAGCAGGTTTGGGGAGCAGAGCAGAGGGAACCTCATGCTGGTCAATGAGAAAAACGATAGTGTTCACACAGGCTTGGCGGGCAGGCGGAACTGGCGAGGCCAGGCTCTCTCCACTCAGCATTACTGACGTTTAGGCTGAACAATCGTCTGTTGGGCGGTGGAGTCTGTCCTGTCCACTATAGAGTGCTTAGCAGTATCCCTGCCTGTAATCACCAAATGCCAGTAAACTCTCTCCCCTAAATTGTGACAATAACAAATGTCTCAGATATTAACAAATGTCCCTGGAGGCAGAACGGCCCCTCGGTTGAGAATGGATCACGGAGCTAGATACAAATGAGGGTCTTAGAAGAGGGGCTGGCACATCGTATCTGGGCAGTTGCCGCCACTGGCTTGGCTAGAATGCTGGGGATATTTCTTCTCTCAGTAGATGCAGAGGGTCAGCATCTACTACGTGGCAGGCACTACACTGGACTGGGAATAAACTGAACAAAACAGGCATGGAAGCCTGTCTGTGGAGCTTAGCAGGCAAGAAGAGAGAGAGAGAGAGAGGGAGAGAGAGAGAGAGAGAGAGAGAGAGAGGGAATAATATATGTTGTACACTATATATATATATATGTCAAATTAGAAATAATTGTGAAAGTACCCATTTCATTACTTATAAGGCCCTGTACGGCCCAGCCTTTGCTGGCCTCCATCACCATTTCTTAGCATTTGCTGCTTCACCTCAGTCCCGTTGGCCTTCTTTAGTGCTCCCCGCTGTTACGCCTCAGGCCTTTGCACTTGCTCTGTCCACTGAGTGGAGCACTACCTTATATGTCAAATTAGAAATAATTGTGAAAGTACCCATTTCATTACTTATAAGGCCCTGTACGGCCCAGCCTTTGCTGGCCTCCATCACCATTTCTTAGCATTTGCTGCTTCACTTCAGTCCCGTTGGCCTTCTTCAGTGCTCCCCGCTGTTACGCCTCAGGCCTTTGCACTTGCTCTGTCCTCTGAGTGGAGCACTACCTTCTCTGTTACTCTCCTGGTGCTCTCCCTTGTTCACCTTTGAGGTTTTAGCTTTGTCACTTTTTCAGATTATGCTGCCTCAGTGACAGATCAGAGTTATTTGTGAACAAGCTCATTCTGGTTGTATGGGAAGTATCGATAGGCACAAGAGCAAAAGAAGAAAGAAGTGAGGTCACTTAAGAGGCTGTTGCAGAAGTCCCAGCAAGGGACCATGTGGCTTGGACAAAGCTGGTCACAGCCAAGAGGGGGAAGAGTGGATGCATTCAAAACATCTGGGGAATAGATCCAAAGGGCTGGGTGATGGGTGAATGTGGGGTGGGGAAAGCGGCTTGTCAAGGTGAACTCCACATTCCTAGCAGGAGCAAATGGGGGGTGGATGTACAGTAACTGACATGGGGAAATTTGGAGGAAGATCAGCTATGTGTGTGCACGCCTGTTTGTGTGTGTGAACATATGTGTGTAAGTGTGTGCACACATGTGTCTACATCTACATGTGGATGTATAGGTCCAAGTGCTGGGAGTGCGGGGTGATCACAGGCAGGTAAGACGTGATCAGTTCTCAGTGCGAACAGCATACCCAAATGGAGATGGAGAGTGGGACGCGCTTTATGCTTAGAACTCAGAAGACAAGCCTACACTGGAAATACAAGTTAGGAAGCTAAGAGCACATGGGTGTTACCATATGAAAACCTTGGTAAGGGGTGGATAAGGTTAATTCGGGTGCTGGGGTAAAGCTAGTGTGGCCTATGAAGGAAGGAGAAATGAGGTGGGAGATGCCTTTTTTAGAAATTTTCTTCAAAGTCAACAAAACTAAGAGATTGTTTCTAGGAGGGTGAGCAGTGTTGACGCGGGAGATGAAAGTGAGCTGCCAAGGAGACATTTTTATTTGCACGTGGAGGCTGCTGGTGCTCAGTAAGCGCAGTCTTGGCCTGAGGCAGACGGGGACGGGTCAGCCATGAACACAGACAAACCCAGGAGAGATGGGGAGGCTGAGAATGCAGAGAAGAGTGGGAAGGGCTAAGAAGAGGAGTCGCAGGTGAGCAGGCCGAATCCTGAGCAGATATGGATGAACTGGCACCTTTGTTTCTCTGTGGTACCCACATCAGTAGTTAGGGCTTTGGAGCCAAAATTATGGAAATTGCATCCCCTCTCCCCCCGAAAACTGCAGGGGGCTCTTGGGGACTTTTAAGGGAGTCAAGTGAAAGATCACTCTGTGAGCAGTGTGAAGAGCGGATGAGAGCACCACTGGCACTAGGAGTGGGTTAGGCAGCCGGAGGCAGGATGGGTCAGGAGCTACTGAGGACATGGAAATGGAGATTATGGCCAGCGCTTGATGAGAGTGTGAGGGAAGGTGTCCAGGGTGACTTGCAGGTCTTACCCGGGTGACTGGTGAGTGCGGTGCCACGTGCAGGTGTGGAACCGAAAGGCCAGGGTTTTCTGGGATGCCAATCAGCCCACTTTAGTAAGCTCAGCTTGTGATGGAAACATTCCGAAGGGAGCTAGTCAGAAGGACCTGGGGCTTAGAAGAGTGTGAAATGGGTGGAAGGAGATTTGCTGAGTGGGTAAGTAAGGCCGTATGCTTTGTGTGGGCCTCACATTGGGTGCACTCTCTCTACTGGTCCCGGTGCCAAAGGAAGCCATGAGCTCATGTTAGAATGAACATTAGCCCGTGGGAATGATATCTTATCACCATTTCCAGGTGCAGCAAAGGCACAGACATTCTAAATTCTCTGTGAAAGGGGCTGGAGGATCTTCAGGAAGAGGAAAAGGATAGGACAGTGGCCCAGACTTTGACAAACTTCTCAGGAGAGCCATCCAGTGTTTGAGGGAGCTCAGGAGGCAGGTAGAACCCAAGGACAGTGGAAGGGGAGGGGAGGCAGTCGAACCAGAAACAGCACAAGCGAGGAGAGCCCTTCTGTGTGAAAACCAACGTGCAAGGGCACGGAACGAGGCACAGCACCAACGTTCTAGCACTTCAGCTTTTAAAAGGCAAGTGTGTTCATGTGTTAAACTCTGATATTCTAAGGGCCAAACATTGTTTTAAGCACATGGAATACACGTTACATATTTAATGAGTATTACTCTGATATTCTAAGGGCCAAACATTGTTTTAAGCACTTTACATATTTAACGAGTATGAAGGCATGTAATGCTCTCCGCAGTCCCAGGAGGTGGGCCCTGTGATTAGCCCTGTGTTCAGGTGAGTAAGCTAAGACCGTGCCAAGGTCGTCAGCTCGTGTACACTGGAGCCAGGCTTCCAGTCCCGGAGCCTAAGCTCTAACCATCATATAGAGAAGCAATATGCTAACATAAGGAAGGTATTTAGAAAAGCAAACATCTCAGCTCCACAGGCCGTATTTTCTTTAGATTAAGTGGCAACAGCTGGATATAACGGGGAATGATGGGCATTCCAGACAAATGAAAGATGAGAAGAACCTTAGGTAAGCAAGCTTTTAATTTAGAGGATAATTTTAGCTGATGTGGATGGGGGAGGAAGGGGAGAAAATTGTTATTGAGATAGTGACTTGTTCGTAGAACATAAACTCAGCTGAATGTTCATTTATGGTTTAAACATCACTTCGCAAAGACCTCGGACCTCCACCAAATAAGGCAAGGAGAAGGTAAGTAAGGGAAACCCTTCAGAGATAGTGACTTGTTCGTAGAACATAAACTCAGCTGAGTTGAGTGTTCATTTATGGTTTAAACATCACTTTGCAGAGACCTCAGACCTCCACCAAATAAGGCAAGGAGCAGGTAAGTAAGGGAAACCCTTCGAGGGGTTCAAGGGAGAGCAAACACTTTAGATCTTGAACCACTTTAGACCCTTACTTTCCTAAACCGTAGAAACAGGCAGAACTCACTTTATGAAACTACACAAACCTGATAACAAAGCCTAAAAGAAATGGAACTAAAAAAAGTAAACAATAGGGCGTGCTCTCCCTCCAAGGAACATGCCTCTCCTTCTCCCAAAGGTACAGGTATCCCCTAACCCAGGGGTGGGCAAACTTTTTGACTCGAGGGCCACAATGGGTTCTTAAACTGGACCGGAGGGCTGGAACAAAAGCATGGATGGAGTGTTTGTGTGAACTAATATAAATTCAAAGTAAACATCATTACATAAAAGGGTACGGTCTTTTTTTTTTTTAGTTTTATTCACATTTCAAACGGGCCGGATCTGGCCCACGGGCCGTAGTTTGCCCACGGCTGCCCTAACCTCTAAGGGACCCCATGAGATTGCAACCAGGGGAGC